GAAAGCAACGCCGCGAAAAATCACATCTTCCCATCTTCCGCGAGGACGCCGCGAAAAAAAGCAACGCTGCGAAAGAAAGCAACGCTGCGAAAGAAAGCAACGCCGCGAAAAATCGCGAAAGAAAGCAACGCCGCGAGAAAGCAACGCTGCGAAAGAAAGCAACGCCGCGAAAGAAAGCCCAGACCCCATCTTTCTGATGGATTTGTTCGATCCGAGACCGGGCGACAACGGTCAGTGTGGATAAAATGCGACGCCCGGATCTCAGGGTAACTAAATCAGGCCCCATTGAACTCAGTCGTGTCATGCCAACGCCCGGCCTGGCACTGCCGCGTGGCCCCACGAGCTCAGAGAAGGGAAACGTAACCACACCGATACCGATGTCCTTCCGTGGTGGCCCCCCTTTCGGGCCTCCTGCCAGGCCTTCGCCGCCACCGCTGGATTCACGCCGAAATCCTGGCCAGAACGCACCCTGGGAGAGGTCCAGGGAGTACAGTCGGGGCCCCGAAAAGGCCCTTTTGGTTTGGGAGGGGCTCCGCGTTCCTTAAGTGTTTCACAGCTTGCCTCAGGTTTTCCTTGTGTTGTCGATCGGAAATCGAAGTTTAACTTATGGCGCTGAAGAAGGAACCCTCTTCGTTCGGGAGGGGCCCAGTGGTGCCAGCTGGTGATTAAGAAGCGGGTGCCCCCCCCCCCCCCCTCCCCCCCCCCCCCCGGGCTGACGAACAGACCCCGCGGGGCGCGAAGCCTTTTTGTTTCAATCGCGCGCGCCATGGGGTCGTCGCTGGCGCCGCCGAGGGGATCGTGCACCCCCCCTGCATGACGGCCTCAAAACGGTTGCTTCTTTCGTATAGAAGTTGCTATAAGCGTCGTACACATCCGAGGCGATGTTTCGTTCCCCCTCTCAGGCGTCGTCGTCGTCGGCGTTTTTCTTCTTCATCGTCCTTGTCGTCGCCTTCGTCTTCGTCGTCGTTGTCGACAGCGGGCCTGCGCAGCATCCCCCCCCCCTAATTAGGGCATCCGCAGTGCGTCGTCGTCGTCGTCGTCGCCGCTGTCGCCGTCTGCCGTCCGCCGTCCGTCGTCCTCGTCCTCGTCCTCGTCCCGTCGTGTCGTCGTCGTCGACGAAGAGAGCGGCCGCTGGAAACGGGCGCAGGCAAGTCTTGGAGGGCGAAAGAGGGGGTCTGCAACAGGGGGTCTTCAATGTGGGCTGGACGGCCCATATATGCTCAATGTATCGCTCATGTGTGTGATCGGGTACGATTGGCATCCAATGTTGGCGGTCATGGAGGGCCAGTCGTTCGTGCCCGCGCGTTGCCCGTGCGGGCAAACGCGCCGTCCATCCATTATCGTTCATGCGTGCGGGCGTTCTTGCATATCGCGCGTGGGGCGGCGAAGTGGAGTGGAAGTGTGTCTTGATTGTGCCATTGATGGTCGCGTATGTTCCCAAAGAAGACGTGTCGAAACCCAAAACAGATGTGGAATGGGCCCCGCGATTCTCCCAAAATGTGCATTCGCATTTTTTTAATCCCAGATGTGAGTTCACGTTTTCCCTTTTTTTCCCAAAATGCGAATTCACATTATGGCCCTTGTCATGAAGATTCGTGCACAAACTTCCAACATGTGAATTCACCTTGTCCTTGTTTCCAAAATCTGAATAATGTGAATTCGCATATTCCTTTTTTATCTAACTTGTGAACTCACATGTTGTTTTCCCACCATGTGAATTCACGTTTTGCCCTGGCCTTCAAGATCCCCAAAACTGAGGCGCCGTGTCCGCATGTCAGAGTGGTTGGGCAGGTTTCGACACTCACTTCACCAGTTTCGTTAATTCCAAGTTCTTATTGATGCGCCCTCAGCGCGCGTTGCCTTCGTCGTTTTGCCCGAGCCCCCCACCTCCTGGTTCCGTTTGCCCCTAAGTCTGGCGCATGCGTGCATGCGGGGAGCTTCAAGTGGAGCCCCCGCCGAACAAAGCAATCGAGGATGTATCGCACACGCATAGCCCATAGAGACACCATTGCCAGGACCCTGCGCCCGACCCCCAATTTCACCCTCCATAAGTCGGGAGACGGCGGCGACGACGGCGACAGAGGTGGGGAGGAGGACTACCCGCCTGTGTCGGGACGAAAGGTTGGGGAAGGAATGGGTGGGTTGCAAAGCCTGCTGCGCGTAGCTGGTTTCGATCGCCCTGCAAAAGGGGTCGTCCTCGACGTATGGCCGCTTTCGGCGCCAGGAGGCGCTTGGAAAATCGGCGATGTGAGCTGCTTGGCAAATCCCCATTTGCTGCGCCCTACTTTCGTCCAGCCCGCATTGCCCGCAGGCCCGCATCGGCTCGACAGAAAGAGGGGCGCCCTGCATCGCCCTTGCCTCCAAACACCCCCCTTGCCCTTCGTTGGCGGCCGGGCGTCGGCGCTAATCACCGGCGCCGCCCCGTTGATGTTCAATCTGGCGGGTGCCACCTTGCGATTCGCCCGAGCAGGGGAACTGTTTTTTTAACACGCGCCCGCCACGGATTTGTGAATCACTTACATTATAGCTTATTTTGGGTGTTAGTTACGTTTTCCATGGGCAATCGAAATTTAGGGTTCCTGATGACAGCGTTTCGACTGTAGCGTTGTCGGTACGTTTTGGTTTCCCACGAGCAGCGCGGCTCGCCCCATCGGCGCGAAGGATCAGAGCAGCGAGCCTCTCCTGGGGGGGGGATGGGGCGCCTGAGACCGGGAAGGGTGGCCGACACGTGGGGGTGGGGACCGACGGAAAAGGAGGAGGAGGAGGAGGAGGAGGAGGAGGAAGAGGAGGAGGAGGAGGAGGAGGAGGAGGAGGAGGAGGAGGAGGAGGTGGAGCAGGATAAGCGGGAGGCGGACGAGGACGAGGAAGGAGGAGGAGGAGGAGGAGGGTGGAGGAGGAGGAGGGGGAGGAGCAGGAGGAGGAGGAGGAGGAGGAGGACGAGGAGAAGGAGGAGCAGGAGGAGGAACGATGAAAATGGAAGAGGGGCTGTGGGCGGAGAGCGGGGGAGGAGGGGGAGGAGGAGGAGGAGGAGGAGGAGGAAGATGAGGAGGACGGGTAGGAGGAGGAGGAGGAGGAGAAGAGGAGGAGGAAGGAGGGAGGAGGAGTTGTAGGAGGAGATGATGATGATGATGATTGATGTGATGATGATGATGATGATGATGATGATGATGATGATGATGATGATGATGATGATGATGATGATGATGATGATGATGATGATGATGATGATGATGATGATGATGAGGATGATGAGGAGGAGGAGGAGAGGAGGAGGAGGAGGAGGAGGAGGAGGAGGAGAGAGGAGGAGGAGGAGGGAGGAGGAGGAGGGGGGGGGGATCAGGAGGAGGGGGCTGGGAGAGGGCTGGGAGGTGGGAGCAAAAGTGTTCCGCGGAGGAGGTGGAGGAACAGGAGGAGGGGGAGGAGGAGGAGGAGGAGGAGGAGGAGGAGGAGGAGGAGGAGGAGGAGGAGGAGGAGGAGGACGATGACGACGATGCCCAGTGCAACGCCAAAACGCATCAACGATGCTGCAATCGGCTTTCCCTCCAAGTTCCCTCGCCATGGGCCCCATACATGGATTCGTTTTCACAGATGAAAGTGCCACGTTGGAAGGCAGCCGTTTGAAGTGCCTGAACCGTGCCAGAACACCCTCCCTTGGACTTCAACGCCGCGAATCACCGCTACTGTTGCGGCTTGACGATTTTGAACCGTGCCATAACACCATTCCTGGGACTCCAACACCGCGAGTCAACGTAAACAAAAAGTGCGCGGCGCGAGCCCGCTAGTCTTGGATGCTCTGGGGTAGTCGTGGAGGCCACCTTGGACCATCTTGAGGCCATCTTGGCCGTCCTGGAGGCCATCTTGGAGCCATCTTGGAGCTATCTTGATCGGCTAAAACTTTGGCAACCACCTCTGGCCAAGCCTTCCGGGTGGCCGGCGCGCGGGGCCGAAGCCCCAGGGGGAGCTCTTTGGGAAAAGCACCAACACTAAAAACGATAGGGTCTAGCACGCCAGGCACCCTGGTGGCAAGCCAATAGGGGGCGGCGGCGATCGGGTGCTTCCGCGCCCGATCCCCGCAGCTGCCGCGCTATGTTGTATACGCAGCCCTGTGAGCACCCAGGAGCCCTCCGTCCCCTGACTAACAAAGACGCCTACGGCGAATCACCACCGCCCCCTGCCTTTTTGGAAGCGCCTCTGTGGCCGACAGCTGGGCCAGTTGTTCCCCGAGTCGGTTTGGAAAAACTTCGGGGAACGCGTGGGGGAGCAAGAAGAGGAGGAGGGGGAGAATGAGGGAAAAAGGGGAGGAGGAGGGGGAGGGGGAGGAGGAGGAGGAGGAGGAGGAGGAGGAGGAGGAGGAGGAGGAGGAGGAGGAGGAGGAGAGGACGAGGAGGAGGACGAGGAGGAGGAGGAGGAGGAGGCCTATTGGGCGCCTCTTGGGGCCCATCTTGGGGCCCTCTTGAGCCCGAGCAAGTCGCGCGACACGGTGCGGGGCAGCCCAGGGGGGCACCCAGGAAGCCCTGATGGGGGCACGCGCCACGCCCGGGGAGATGTCAGAACTTGGGGCCCAGGCCCCTGGCAGACCCCCCGGGAGTGAGCACAGAGGCTTTACAGTCGGGGCTCTGAAGAAGGAGCCCTTTTCGTTGGGGAGGGGCTCCTCGTTCCTGAAGTGTTTCGCAGCTTGCCCCAGGTTTTCCTTATGTTTTCGATGGGGGATCGGAGTTTAACTTCTGGAGAAAAAAAAAGGGGCCTCGTTCCTTATTTTGGGTTCCTTAGGTCAAGCCCCCGACTGTAGAGGCTTTAAGGGATCAGGCAAAGGGCCAGAGAGGGCACGCCCACTCCGTGCCCAGCGGCGCGGTGGCGGATCTGGCATTGTCGTTGACGGCGCCGAAGACCGGAGGAGGGTACGTGCTCCCGAGATGGTGCGCACGTGACGTGTGCCTACCGTGACCATGCCGCGCCAGTTGCCCCCCCCCTGGCGCCCCCCGCCCCCCCCACCCCCCGAGGAGTCCGAGGGCCGCGCGCCTTGGCGCAGCGACTGCCGCGACGTCAGGGAGGTCTGCTGGCTGCCCATCCACGACGCGCTGGCGCTGGAGCCGCCGATGGTGAGCCTGGTCGACAGGGAGCGCCGGGGGGGAGGGACAGGCGGCTTCTCCGGGGCCCTGCTGGGACCTCGGGTCTCCTGGGGGGCGCTTTAGGGCTCTGGGCTCTGCGGTCGGGAGCCTCTGGGCGCCCTGTCGCTCTGCCGGCTCTGGCCCACCACGCTGCGGCGCGACGCGCCATCCACATCCTCCTCCTCCTCCTCCTCCTCCTCCTCCTCCTCCTCCTCCTCCTCCGCCTCCGCCTCCGCCTCCGCCTCCTCCTCCTCCTCCTCCTCCTCCTCCTCCTCCTCCTCCGCCTCCTCCTCCTCCTCCTCCTCCTCCGCGAGGGCTCCGGCCCCAGACTCGGGGAAACGTAAGACTCGAGTAATTAAGCCAGAACTCGGGTTTGCCGACTTCTTTGCTGACGAGCGCGTCCTGGATGTTGTCGGTCCCGTGTTCGCGGGATGTCTGCAGCGGGAGCCCGCGTCGAATTTCAGATTGGGTCTCGTCATTTTTATGATGGCCCCCGACAGGCCAACCCGAGTCCCCCGTACCCGAGTCTTACGTCTCCCCGACAGACGTCGACGTTCCGAGCTTGTCCCTTGCTCCCGCCCAACGGAGCTGCCGCCCCGCGGAGCGGAGCGGCACGCCATCCACTCGCAGGGCACGGCGTGTCGTCGGGGCCGCCGCGGCGGCACGCTAAGCAGAAGTCCCCAGCCGTATGCACGGGGATGAAAAGTGGGAGGGTTTGGAGCAATAGGGGGGGACGGATGAGGAGGATGCCGAGGATCATCGAGGACGAAAGAAGCCATAAGCCTAATAACAGAATGAAGGCGTGGCCTCACTTATGTTCGAGTCATTGCGCTAGGGATAATCCATTGTGGTGGTCTGGTTTGATACATCTGCAGAAAAGACCCCCTACCCCTGATGTTCTGGGCCTCTTATCTTAGGCCCGCTCCCAAAAGTTTAGGGGCCCTTCTATCGCACAGCAGAGGAGGAGAAAGAAGGAAGAGGGGGAGGATGCAGGGCCGTTATGGAGGATTCCGGGCGGCTGCTGCAGATGTTCTACGGCTTGCACGGGGGGCCCAGGAGGAGGAAGAGCACGCAGGGCATGTCAGGGAGTGCGTTGGGAGCCTGTCCAGTCGGGGCCGCATCCGAAGGTGACCAGTGCCATCCGCGGTGCGGGAGGGGCGTTGGATTCCAAGCGGCGGCTCAGGCTCATGCTTAGCGATCCTGCGTAATGATGAGCTTTTCCTCGGATGCTACCTGGATGGGGTAGGGCCCACTTGGATCGGTCGAGGTAACAAGAAACATCGTCCGTCCTTAACGGCCGCCCTGATTGCCTGGTCGACCGCTGCCTTTTCCGCGAGCGAGGGTCGACAACAACCACGTGCACAGGTTATCCGAGGGCTTCCACAGGAGGGCGAATATAGCGAGGGTCCCGCCACGGCCGCCCTGATTGCCTGGTCGACTGCTGTCTGTCCGCAAGCGAGGGTCGGCAATAACCACAGGCGTCGGTGATTCCAAAGCTGCCACACGAGGGCGAATATCGCGAGGGTCGCGCCGATGGGCTGCAAGAGCCGCGGGAGCAGCAAACATCTGCTCACAGCACACTTGGCTCCCGCCCTCCTCCGCCCCCACCACGCCGCAGCAGAACGGTCGTAGTCCCTCCTCTGCCTCAGTCCCCGCCTCCTGCCGTCCTCTTCATGCATGGGCTCCTCCTCCTCCTCCTCCTCCCCCTCCTCGTCCTCCTCCTCCTCCTCCTCCTCCTCCTCCTCCTCCTCCTCCTCCTCCTCCTCCTCTTAAGATTATCAGACACACGTCCATCCTTTTCCATCTGCTGGGATGCCCCAGGGCCAGTGCGGATACATCGTTCGGATCGTCAGGTCGTTCTGATAGCCGTAGGACGAAGGGTTTTCTTCTCGAGGCGCCAGCGGCGATTAGCTGTTGGCGTTGTTTCGCCGGTGGCGCCAAATGCAAGGCGTCCAGACAAGTTTGTTGCAGCACCTTGTGCGCGAAGAGATACGTGTTCATGTGAGGTGCGACCCGTGTTTGGTGAGGGTTGGTGAGGTTCGTGAGAAAACGCGTGACCCGTCTGTGGCAGTTCGTAATCAAACCCCTATTCCCCCGCAGAATCGTAACAGCGGCGGGCCTGGGACCCGCGGATTCGATTTCGATCGGTCTCCCGTTTTTTGTTCTACTAGTCTGATTTGAGAGCGGATGATGTCGAACCGTCGTGTGCGTAACGTAGGGGGGAGGCACAAGGAGGAAGTCGGAGGAGGCAGGGAGTGGAGGAGAAGGACGAGGGGCCATGGGGCTCTTGTTGTGCTTGCCCCGACTCGTGCCTTCTGTGTCACCGAGCATCACCAAGAGGGACGATGGATCGACAACATGTCCTCGTATGCGCCCCTGCGCACCGCGCATCTATCGGCCACGTGTGCCCGTCTCTCCACGTGGCTGCGCGTGTCGGTGGGTCACGCAGACGACGACGCCACAGCTCAGGCGGAGGGGGAGGAGTAATGCCAGTCCCTCCCTCATAGCCCACATCCCGACCACTCCGTGGACGCATGCTTGGTACGATCCAGAGACGGATACAGCCGAGGCGGGGTAGCAATCGTCTTCCTTCTCTCGTGCGTCCGCTCATCCTCCTCATCTTCATCCCACTCTTCTGTTGTTCCTTCTCCTCCTTGTCCGACACCGTGGACGTCCTCCGATTCCTGGAAGCTTTTGAAAACCGCTGCAAGCCGCAAGCTTTCCAAAAGACCCCATGGAACTCCGAATGCCTCCGAAGACGGTTGAACACCTCCGAATGCCCCCGATTAGAACCGAAGATGTCGAAGGACCCCCGAAAAGCTTCTGCAGACATCCAGAGAGCATCGGGGCACCTCCGATCGGCCGCCGAGTGGCCCGTCTCCGCGGGCCCCTCGGCCCAGGAGCTCCTCTTCCAGGCAGCGCAGAAGTGCGATCACCCGCGGGTCGGACCCGAGACGCAGGCGATGACGCCGCCGCACCCGCCCGCGGGGGGGCGGTTGGACACCTCTCGTCCTCGCTGCCAACCCTCTCCTGTAGGGGGGAGGAAGGGAGAAGGAGAAGGAGACAGAGGAGGAGGAGGAGGAGGAGGAGGAGGAGGAGGAGGAGGAGAGGCCGGGGGATTGTGGAGCCCCGGTGGGTTTCAGGCGATGTTTTACGATCTTTCACGTTGCTCCTCATAGTTTTTCTGATAGTTCCTCTTTCGCTTTCTCTCTCTCTCTCTCAATCTCTCCCACTCCCATTCCCATTCCCGATACCATGATCATTACCATTCCCATCCCCATTCCCATTCACATTATCATTACCATTACCTCTACCTTTATCTTTACCTTTACCTTTACCATTACCATTACCATGACCATGGCCATTACAATTGCCATTGTCACTGCCATTCCCATTGCCATTGCCATTGCCATTACCAGTGCCGTTGCCATTGCCATTGTATTGCCATTGCCAGTCGCCGACCCGTTACCATTACCGATACCATTACCATGACCATTACCATTCCCATTACCATTAGCCACTACCATTACCATTGCCATTACCATTAGCATTACCAACACCGTTGCCATTACCATTACCATCACCATTACCATTACCGCTGCCATCACCATTACAATCCCCATTCCCATCACCATTGCCATTACCGTTGCCGTTGCCAGAACCATTTCCATTACCATTACCATTGCCATTATCATTACCACTACCACTACCATTTCCATTCCCGTTCCCGTTCCAATTACCACTACGATTCCCATTCCCATTCCCATCCCCATTACCATGACCATGACCATGACCATGACCATTACCATTACCATTGTCATGGCCATTGCTATTGCCATTGCCATTGCCGTTGCCATTCCCATTGCCATTGCCATTGCCATTACCATTACCATTGCCATCGCCGTTGCCATTGCCATTGCCAGTCGCTACCCCGTTACCATTGTCATAACCATTACCGTTACCGTCACCTTTACCATTCCTAGTACCAGTACCATTACCACTGTCATTGCCATTACCATTACCATTGCCATTGCCCTTGCCATTGCCATTCGCCACTACCATTACCATTGCCATTCGCCACTACCATCACCATTACCATTGCCATTGCCATTGCCATTGCCATTCGCCACTACCATTACAATTGCCAGTACCATTACCATTCCGAGTCACATTCCCATTCCCAATACCATTACCATTACCGTTACCATTACCATTGCCATTGCCATTACCAGTACCATTACCATTACCTCTACCTTTACCTTTACCCTTACCATTCCCATTTCCGTTACCACTACCACTGCCATTCCCATTCCCGTTCCCATTCACATTCCCAGTCCCATTCACATTCCCGTTCCCATTCACATTCACATTACCATTACCATTGCCATTGCCATAGCCATTACCATTGCCATTGCCATTGCCATTGCCATTACCAGTACCGTTGCCATTGTTATTGTCATTGCCATTGCCAATCGCTACCCTGTTACCACTATCATTACCGTTACCATTACCAGTACCATTACCATTACCTCTGTCATTACCATTACCATTCGCATTGCCATTGCCATTGCCATTAGCCACTACCATTACCATTGCCAGTACCAGTTCCATTGCCATTCCCATGACCATTCCCATTACCATTATCATTTCCATTACCATTACCATTACCTTTGCCTCTACCTTTACCTTTACCATTACCCTTATCATTCCGATTTCCGTTACCACTACCATTTCCATTCCCGTTCCCGTTCCCATTCACATTCCCGTTCCCGTTCCCATTCCCACTACCATTGCCATTACCATTACACTTACCACTGCCGTTGCCATTGCCATGGCCATTCTCATTGTCATTGCCATTGCCATTGCCAATCCCATTGCCATTACCCTTACCGTTGCCATTGTCATTGCCATTGCCAATCGCTACCCCGTTACCATTACCGTTACCATTACCATTACCAGTACCATTATCATTACCTCTGTCATTACCATTGCCATTGCCATTGCCATTGCCATCCGCCACTACCATTACCATTGCCAGTACCATTTCCATTCCCATTCCCATTACCATTACCATTACCACTACCATTACCGCTGCCATTACCATTAGAATTCCCATTCTCATTCCCATTCCCATTCCCAATACCATTACCATTTCCAGTACCATTACCATTACCAGTGCCATTACCATTACCACTACCACTATCAGTTCCATTCCCGTTCCCGTTCCCATTCCCATTCCCAATACCATTACCATTACCACTACCTCTACCACTGCCATTGCCATTTTCATTACCATTACCTTTACCTCTACCTTTACCCTTACCATTACCATTGCCACGACCATTACCATTGCCATTGCCATTGCCATTACCATTACCGTTGCCATTGTCATTGCCATTGCCAATCGCTACTCCGTTACCACTATCATTACCGTAACCATTACCAGTACCATTACCATTACCACTGGCATTACCATTACCATTGCCATTGCCATTGCCATTGCCATTCGAGGATTTCAGTAGGAATCATTCAGTGGAGGGTTTCAGTAGGAATCCACATGTGCAGGATTTCAGTAGGAATCATTCAGTGGAGGGTTTCGATAGGAACCCTTCTGTCGAGGATTGCACTGTGAATGCTTCTTATGGGGGCGTTCAATAGGAATCCTTCTAGGGGGGAGGGCAGATGCGGCCACGTCGCATTCCTTCTTTTTTTTTCTCCTGGCGCCCCCCCCCCCCCCCAGAATTGTTTTTTTTCCTGGGGGGAGAAAAAAAAGGGCAGAGAGGTAGGAGGAGGGGGAGAGGGAGGAGGAGGAGGAGGAGGAGGCGGAGGAGGAGGAGGAGGAGGAGGAGGAGGATGACGACACAGAGCAGAGTTTGCACAGAAACAGTCGCGAACTCAGCGCGAAAGCCTCGCGCGCGCGCTTCGGAACCACAGGAACTCCACAATCCCTCGTTCTCGAGGAGGAGGAGCGGGAGGAGGAGAGGAGGAAGACGAGGAGGAGGGGCACTATAGAGCGATTCTCGCCCACCGGCACCGGCACCGGCACCGGCACCGGCACCGGCACCGGCACCGGCACTGGCACCGGCATCGGCACCGGCACCGGCACCGGCACCGGCACCGGCACTGGCACCGGCACCGGCACCGGCATTGGCACCGGCGCCTGCGCTGGCCATGGCACCGGCACCGGCACCGGCACGAGCGCCGTCGCCGTCGCCGGCGCCAGCACCGGCAATGGCACCCGCACCCGCACCTGCACCGGCACCAGCACCGGCACCGGCACCGGCACCGGCACCGGCGCCGGCGCCAGCACTGGCACCGGATGATGAACATCATTGAATATCATGACATTCCCCAAACAGTGCTTGCACTTAGGGGGCCTTCTCTCTTTCCTAGTAGCTGGGTCTGAGGGGCGGTCTGGCGGCTCTCTCCTCGCCGTTGCCGCCCTGTCGCCGCCCGTCGTCTGGGCCTGGGCTTGAGGGGCGGTCTGGTTTTCCGTCCTTGCCGTCGCCCCCCCTTGCTGCGTCGTCGCCGCCCGTCGTCTTGGCCTGAGGGTCGGTCTGGCGGTTCCTTGCTCGCCGTCACCGTCCCGTCGCCGCCTCCTCGTCGCTGCCCTGTCCGCCCCCCCAGCGGTTGCAATCCAATCGATTGCAAGCCAATCAAGTGCAAACCCAGTGGAATCGATTGCAGTCCAATCAATGGTAAAATTATGCAAACGGAGTTCCCCACATAAAGATATTAACGGTTTCGTGGGACCCATGGGGTACGACAACATTCACACGAAGGAGAAGCTCATCGAACGAGTAAGTAACCACAAAAGGGCAGACGAAAGAAAGGAGGAGGGAGGACAGGTGCTCAGGAAACGAAGCCTTGTAAATAGTACGGGTTCTTGATACCCTCCTCGCTCTGGCGGGGCCCCGCTGGAAGGGGGGAGGCCTACGAAACCTGGTAAAGAGTAATGCTGTCCCTCCTCGTCCTCCTCATCTTCGGCATCATCATCATCATCATCATCAACATCATCATCATCACCAGCATCGTCGTCGTCGTCATCATCAGCATCATCGTCATCATCAGTATCATCATCATCATCATCATCATCATCATCATCATCATCATCATCATCATTATCGTCAGCATCATCGGCATCACCATAACCATCATCATCATCCTCATCGTCATCAGCATCGTCATCATCATCGTCAGCGCCATCGTCATCATCATCATTGTCGTCGCCACCATCGTCATCATCATCATCATCATCATCAGCATCGTCATCATCATCACCATCACCGTTCTTTGCATCATCATCGTCCGCATCATCTTGGACGTCATGATCATCAGCATCATCGTCGTCATCATCATCAACAGCACCAGCAACGTCAGCATCAGCAGCAGCATCGTCATCATCACCAGCATATGGATCATCATCCTCGTCGTCGTCGCCATCGTTGTCATCATCGTCATCATCATCATCGTCATCATCATCAGCATCATCATCATCATCACCGTTATCGCCATCGTCATCGTCCATCACCATTATCGTCATCGTCATCGTCATCGTGAACAGCAGTATAACCATCGTCATCACCATCATCATGACGAAGCCTTCCTCATCGCAGAACTCCCCCTCCTCCTCACCCTCCTCAGTGGGAGGAGTAGGAAGTGAGATGGATAGGTAATGTTCTCCCCCCCTCCTCACACATGTCAGTGGGAGGGGCGCGAAACCATTTAAATAGTGTGGGTTTCCGATACCCTCCTCGCTCAGGCGGGGCCTCCTTGGAGAGGTGGGAAGGGCACGAAACCATGTAAATAGCATGGGTTTCCGATACCCTCCTCGCTCAGGCGGGGCCTCCCTGGATGGGTGGGAGGGGCACGATACCATGTAAACAGTATGGGTTTCCGATACCCTCCTCGCTCAGGCGGGGCCTCCCTGGAGGGGTGGGAAGGGCACGAAACCATGTAAATAATATGGGTTTCCGATACCCTCCTCGCTCAGGCGGGGCCTCCCTGGAGGGATGGGAGGGGCATGAAACCATGTAAATAATATGGGTTTCCGTTACCCTCCTCGCTCAGGCGGGGCCTCCCTGGAGGGGTGGGAGGAGCACGAAACTATGTAATCTTTATTGGTTTCCGATACCCTCCTTGCTCAGGCGGGGCCTCCCTGGAGAGGTGGGAAGGGCACGAAACCATGTAAATGGTACGGGTTCCCGACACCCTCCTCGCTCAGGCGGGGCCTCCCTGGAGGGAAGGGAGGGGCACGAAACCATGTTCAGACGGGGCCTCCCTGGAGGGGTGGGAGGGGCACGGGTGGGCCTCCCTGGAGGGGTGGGATACCCTCCTCGCTCAGGCGGGGCCTCCCTGGAGAGGTGGGAAGGGCACGAAACCATGTAAATAGTATGGGTTTCTGATACCCTCCTCGCTCAGGCGGGGCCTCCCTGGAGGGATGGGAGGGGCACTGGGAGGCAAGAGGCGGGACCGGCACCGGCACTGGCACTGGCAGTGGGGCCCTCACCGGCACCGGCACTGGCACCGGCACCGGCACCGGCACTGGCACCGGCACCGGCACTGGCACCGGCACCGGCACCGGCACCGGCACCGGCACCGGCGCCGGCACCGGCACCGGCACCGGCACCGGCACCGGCACCGGCACCGGCACCGGCACCGGCACCGGCACCGGCGCCGGCACCGGCACCCCGGCACCCCGGCACCGGCACCGGCACCGGCACCTGCACCGGCACCGGCACCGGGGCAAGAATCGTTCATGCATTAGGAGGGGGAGGAGGACGAGGACGATGAGGAGGAGGAGGAGGAGGAGGAGGAGAAGGATTAGGAGGAGGGGGAGGAGGAGGAGGAGAAGGAGGAGGAAGAGGAGGAGGAGGAGTGAGGGAGGACTGGGGGAGGATTGGGAAGGACTGGGGGAGGAGGAGTAGTAGTAGTAGTAGGAGGAGGAGGAGGAGGAGGAGGAGGAGGAGGAGGACGGCCAGTGGAAGCCCAAGAGTCATCAACGATGTTAGAATAAGCCGTCGTCATAGGCCCCATACAACGGTTCATTTCCATTGAGGGAACTGCCTCGTTCGAAGACAACCGCTTGAAGACCCTGAACAATGCCAAACAAATGACCGTCTCGGGATTCCAACGCCACGGATCAACCTCATTGTTACGCCTTGGCCTTTTGAACCGTGCCAGAAGACCATTCCTGAGATTTCAACACAGCGAATCAACGTAACTGTTTGTGCTTTCATAATCCTGAATCCTTCCCAAAACACCACTTTTCGCATGCTGACAATGGGAATCCGTGAAACTCTTGCAAATATTGAAACCGAATGTGCGCGGCGCTGAAGCGAGAGCCACATAGGGGAGGAGGAGGGATAGGAAAAACATGAGGAGGAGGAGGAGGAGGGTGAAGGAGGAGGAGGAGGAGAAAGAGGAGCAGTAGGACGGTGGATCGACTCTATAGCCAACAGCGTATAGGAAAATGAGGAGCAGAAGGGAAGGGAGGAGGAGAAGCGGGAGGATGAGGAGAGAAAATGAGAAGCAGAAGGAAAGGGAGGAGGAGAAGCGGGAGGGTGAGGAGGAGGAAGAGGAGGAGGAGGAGGAGGAGGAGGAGGAGGTGCAGGAGAGAGCACATGGCAGGGGGACATAGACAGGGCCGCCTACGATCCGATTCGATGCGATTCGATTCGCCGGTTGGGGCCGCGATTTCGATTCGATTCGATTCGCTAGCACCCTCTGGGGCCAGCCAGATCTGTGTTTGGCCATCCGATTTCGAGTCGACTCGGGACGATCTGCCGGCGACCCGATCTGGTTCCGATACCAGCCGATCTCGTGATTCGATTCGGCTACGTTGGGCCACCCCCAGAGGCGCAAAGATAACCTCGGAGGCGACGAAAGGAGCGAATAGCCCAGGGGCGAGCATTACACGCAGTCGCCCCGGACCATCGGCTCCCCTGGATACACGTGTTGCTCTCCCCTGGGCTATTCGCCCCCATCGCCGCCCCCGATAACCACGCCTCGCGCATCGCGGCTTGGGCTTGAGAGGCGCCCTTCTCCAGGGCGCGAAGCGCGAAGTCAGGTGACCTAGAAGACATGGCCCCGCGAGCAAGCTGCCTCCCTCCCCTCCTCCCTCCCCCCCCCCCGCGCTCCCTGCTCGCCTGATTGGCTCGGTGCAGGGAGGTACGACGTGATACGCTTCCGCGCTCGCCGTCCCACTCGTTCTGGCCTGGGAGGGGGTGCTCTCGCTCGCAGGCGCTTCATCCCGGGAGCGGTGAGACCTCCTCCTCCGCCAGCACGCAGCCTCCCCCCGCCGCCCCCCCCCGCCGAGGGCCACGGCGCGGACGCCCGTCGAAGCAAGGGCCGAGGCCGCAGCGGGACCCCGATCGGGGGTCGGCCGTGGCGCTGCGGCCGGCCTGGCCGTGCGGGGCCCCGATCGATCGAGGGGTCGATCGGTCGCGAGTGGCCTTCCGAGGATCGGGGCTCTCCGGGCTCCCCAGAGACTCTCTTGGCATCGCTCGGACGTGTGCATTTTTCCTTCGGCGAGGGCCATCGAGGAGCATCCTTGATCATTCGGCGAAAAAACCACGCGCGAAACCGACAAAAAAAAACAGGGAATGGACGTCCGAGCGATGGCGAGCTCTCCGTCCCTGAAGAAAAATCACCACGGAAGGTTTTTAGCGAGCTTCGGCCTCATGGGGATCTTCACCGGGCCTCGGGACCGCAAAACTGACTGACTGACTGACTGAAGCCTTGCGTCCTGCAAACGCGTGGGCAAGATTGCACGTATGGCAACCAGACGTGAAAATAGAGAGAGAGAGAGAGAGAGGCGGCTGACTATAGACAGGGGCAGGTCACGGGAGGAGAAGAGGCAGGAAGGGGGAGGGGAAGGGGAACGGAAAGGGGGAAAGAAGGAAGGACCGCAAAACACAGGTTCCAAGATAAGGAACCGGCTCCAGGGAATGGGTCGAGGCCTCTGGGGGTGGACGTTGCGAAACAAGCACGGCGTCGGAGGTCCAGGTTCCGGGGCGCCCTTGGCTGCTCCCGTACGGGGGCGCAGAAGCGCAGCAAGGACACGCTGCCGTCGGGAGACCGTCGGCGTGTTCTCTCACAATTTGTTCGTCCGGAGGCCCAGTGCTTCTTCAGCGGCAAGCCGATGGCTTTCCCACGGCGGCGCGCTACAGATCTCAGAGGGGGGAAACACACACAGTCACAAGCAATCATCGACGCCCAGGAAGAAAGTATGGGAGCATCTGGGAAGTGGGGGGGAAGCTGGAAACAGAGAAAATGTGGGGAACTATGGGGGAGTTTTGGATTTGTGTCTGTTTGCTCCTCCATCCTTAAGGGCTTCGCCCCCTGCCGCCGGCCCCCTTCTCTTAGAATGGGACTTGCCAGAGTTATGTTGGGATGTCTGGGCGCTAACGTGAAGCAACGCCGGGACTTCACAAACCGCAGAATATTTCACAACTACGAATCTTGCGTAACCTTCGAAGGTTTATGGCATCGGGGGTGCGAGCATGGCGTACTTTACGAAGGTGTATGGCTTCGGGGGCGTGAGTCTTGCTTAATTTATTGTGGTTTATAGCCTCGAGTACGCAGCCACTGCGTACTTTACAAGGTTGTATGGCTTCGGGGACGCGATTATTTCCAAATTTGCACAGGCTTGTGGCCTCGAGGACGCAACTATTGCGTAGTTTTACAAGGTTGTGTGGCATCGGGGACGCGATTATTGCGAAAATTACACAGGTTTATGGCGTCGGGGATGCACACCTTATGACATTTACAACGGTGTATGGCCTCGGGGACGCAATTATCGTGCAATGGCTTCGGGGACGCGAACATGGTGTAATCTACAAAAAGGTGTATGTCCCCGGGAACGCGAACATGGCAACATGGCGCAACTTACTGAGAGTTATAGTTTCGGGGGCTCGAATCTCATCTCTGGCGCGCCCGTTGGGGCTGGCGGCCCCCCGCGCGGAAAGTTTGGCTCTCCTCCTTAATCCCGCCAGCGGGGGCCGCCCAGGCAAGAAGGGCCTCTTCCACGAAAGTGCGGTGATCGATCTGGACAAGTATTTGCGGCCGCTGCCTGCAGGCCTAAGAGACGCTGTGGCCTTGGACCAGAGCCTCTGCGATATCGCGTTTCCTGCGCTCAGAGACCAGTCCAGGGACTTCGCGAACCTGATCCAGCTGCAAGCCCTGAGCCCGTCGGTGTGCGCGCCGAGGCACGGCGTTGCGAGTTGGGATCATGTGGAGGGCCGCAGGGCGCTGGGGCAGACCAAGCGACGCGGCCGATGGGTGTCGCCAAGCAGCATGAAGCGCTTCGCGAAGGAGGCTCACCTTCAGGACGCCATGACCCGCGCGCCCGGCTGGGCGTTCGTCTTCGGCAGGCTCGCGCATGCCAGTCTGCTCGAGATTGTCGAGTTGGGACCCGGCCTGCAGCGCTGCCCGCGCTTTTGGCAGCAGCTGCCCGAGGCCGCGCAGGCGCTGATCGCTGCCGTAGCCTCGCCGGCGCCGGTGCGGCGTCATCGCGAGGCCCTCCTCGCCCAACATCTGACGGCTGCTCGGCATGAGATGTTCGGCGCGTTTTTGAAGTTCTGTGCGGGGTCTTGAAACATCGGCACGGCCGTAAGGGCCGCTGGCTCAGTTGCCCTGTCTTTGGACGGACGTATTGCACGGCCCCGCGGAGGACCACCTTGATCGCGCGATTGAAAGGCGCATCTCGAGATGGCTCAAGAGTGGCCGCATCTTCGGCGTTTCCTTTTGGACCCCGCGTGCGTCTTGGACTCGGGCCTTGAGGAGGCCCTTCCGTGACCTCGAGGCTCCGATGGGGAAAGCCAATTTAAACGATGGCGAGCGTGCCCGATTGAAGATTGGAAACGCGACCTTCCATTTCTCTTGCAGAATAATTCCCCTGCGCCGCGTTCTAGGCGCGCCCGCGCTGCTGGAGAACCCTCAGACATCATGCTTGCGGGCCGCGCCTCGGCTTGCGAAGTTCGCGTCGCAAACCGATGCCTGCTTCAGTGCGTGTCGCCTTTGTCAGTGCGGAGCTCGGTGGCGGAAAGCCCACTCGCATCCAGGGTTGGAACAGATCGTATTTAGACCTGTTGAATTGCAAGTGCCCGGGTAGAGGAGGAACAGGCTCTCGCGTGAAGCTATCACGCGTTGAACTTTCTGGCGCTGCCCCTGGCGGCCGCAAGTCGACGAGCCTTGCTGCCGAGTGTCCCTCTCGTTTTGCTGCTGCCGCCGCCGCGGTCCTCTCTCATTCGGCTGACCATTAGCAAGGTTTGAGACTCGCCGAGATGATTGGTGATTATAGCTTCAATCTTGAGCGTTTGGTCATGTTTGGAAACCCTGTGGGGCTCCGGCCTGACGGCCGGGCTACCCGTTTGGGGAATGAGTACTGTCTGGATGTTTCGTTTCCGCTTGCGTCGGCGAGCGATGGAACCTCGGTCCCAGAATGCATGCGCTCTCGAGCGTGCGCACGTCAAAAAAAGACATATGCTGCAGCTGACGCTGTCTGGCCACCGAATGAGCGAATGCGCTTGCTGCTTCGGTTTCAAATCTGGAAGCGAGGAAGGAGCAAGAAAACGGCCGCACCGCTCCGCGGCCGACGTGCTCAAGGCTCCGACCCGCCCTCCCTCCCCTCTTCCTCTTTCCACGTTGTATAGCTTGCTGTGGACGCTGTCCTGATGTCTCGTTCCCGCATGCGTCGGCGAGCGATGAAACCTCGGTCCCAGAATGTGTTTGCGCCTCTCTCGAGCGCGCGCGCGCGTCAAATGAGTATGCATCCTGCAGCTGACGTTGTCTGGCCGCCGAGGGAGCGAATGTACTTGTTATATATGTAATATCATATGAGACAGATTTGAGGAGGCATAGAAGCGCCGCCCACCGAAATTGGCCCGGCTCCAGCGACCAGGAACCGATAGTGAAGTCGATCCACTGATATTCGGGTGCGGAAAAGAGGGGGGTGATGATGAGGGGGGGTGGATATCATGGCGGTGGCCATGATATGTCCCAGATTTCATGGCGCCTCTTCTTATTTCATTACGTCCCTGGCCCCCCCGCTGGGCCACGCACGTGCCGCCAGTCATGATTTGCACCCCCCCCTCTTGGACATCCCCCTCTTGGCCGCTCCCGAGATATCGATCTTGCAGTCGGTTGTGAGATCGCGAGCGAGATCGATAGAGGGGGGAAGTGGAATCGATGAGGAGATCGACCAGGAATCCAGAAACCCTGGAACCCCGGCGCAACCACCGAAATCGTCCCAGAACCAGCAGCTGGGAACGGGGGTGCCCGGAACTGGAAGCCCGGGAACCCGGCCGCCAACCGAAATCGGCCGGGCACGTCCGCCAAATTTTTCGACACCGGCTAGGACCCCTTCAGTGCAAGCGTTGAATCAGTGTTTGCACTGAAGGGAATCTAGCGCGGATGTTGAAAGATTTGGTGAAGTGCCCCGCCGATTTCGGTATGCGGCCGGGCTCCCAGGTTCCAGATTCCCCGGATCACGGTTGTTGTTTCCGGGCCGATTTCGGTGGGCGGCGGGGTTGCCGGTTTTCCACGTTGATCAATCTCTTTACACCATCGATTTCATGACCCACTTTACTACCGATCACACCATCGATCTCACATCGGTTTTGTTCTCGATCTCATTATCTATTTCACTCATTCGACCTCAACACCAATCTCACAATCGGTTTCACGATCGTGTTCACTTCCGACCCCACCCAATGGATATCACGATCGATCTCATCATCGCTTGCCTAATATAGCATACCATGTAGCATAGCACTGGACCCCCCCGCGCACCACGGGACACTATCGGGACACAATCGAGACACCACGGGACTTTATCGGGACACTATCGCGACCTGGATATTTCGATCGATCGTGAGATCGATAGTAAAATCGATAGTGGGACCGATCGTGAGCACGATAGTAAGGTCGATCGTGAGACCGGGGGTGGAGTCGATTTACTGAGATGGATAGTGAGATCAAATGCGAGATCGAGAGTGAGACCGATTGAGGGGGTGGTATACAATGAGATCGACGGTGGCTCCGATCGATCAGGGGACCGAGAACCCGGGAACCTGGGAACCCCGCCGCCCGCCGAAATCGGCCCGGAACCAGCAGTTGGGAACGGGGGGGCCCAGAACTGGGAACCCGGGAACCCGGCCGCCAACCGAAATCGGCCGGTCATTTTCATTTGATTTTCAACATCCGCTAGGACCCCTTCAGTGCAAGCACTGCTTTGAAAACAAGATATGTAACGAACCCGCCGCAAGCGCCGACTTTTTCGTCAAAGCTATGTGGGCGGTTCGCGGGTGGGGATCGCGGGTGGGTCGCGGGTGGGTCGCGGGTGGGTTGCGGGGTGGCTCGCGGGTGGGTCGCGGGTGGGTCCGGTTTGGTCGCGGGTGGGTTGCGAGGTGGGTTGCGGGGTGGGTCGCGGGTGGGTCGCGGGTGGGTCGCGGTTTGCTCGCAGGTGGATTGCGGGGTGGGTCGCGGGTGGTTCGTGGGTGGGTCGTGGGTAGCCCGCGGTTGGCCTGCGGGGTGGGTCGCGGGCCAGGTCGCGGATGGGTCGCGGGGTGGGTCGCGGGTGGGTCGCGGGCCAGGTCGCGGGTCGGTCGCGGGTTGGTCACGGGTAGGTCGTGGGTGGGTCGCGGGGTGGGTCGCGGGGTGGGTCGCGGGGGTGTTGCGGGGGCGGGTCACGGGTGAGACGACGACACTAACAACGCAACACATCAACAACAAGCAGAATCCGCGCCGCGGAGTCCCACTGAAGCACCGCACACAGGGACAGTGAATGACCGTTCGGCCCCGTCACTCTGACTTTGCACTGGCATCGTTGTCTCTACTTCGCGCTCTGTTTGCACTTGAATCGTGATGCGACCGGCACGCGCACGAGCTACAGGGCCATCACCGAAGCATGTTGATGCTTGCGAGTCATAAATGCTCGCCGAAAGGGGCCCGATAGCCCGCCCACGCCGCCCAGGAACGTCCAGCTTCGGCGTCGGGGTCCCATCGCCGATCCACCAGCGATGTATCGCCGATTCAACGTGGATGTCCCCCCCCCGGAGCCAGTCCCCTCCGATCGTTGCCCCTCAATCCCTGATTGCGCATATCTCGCATGGCCGTTTTCGGCATCCAGGGGCCCTACCCCTCTGGGGATGGGACTGTCAAAGGACGGCTCGGGACGCATGGCCAGTCCCAGGAAGGAGTTGATACGTCTGGGGAGACACGCTGTGAAAGTATCACGACGTCGGAGATTTGGATATCCCTGAGGTCGGCATTGCCTTGTCTCGCTGCCGCAGCCTTGGCATCGCTCGGCCGTATGTATTTTTTCTCGGCCAGGACCATCGAGGAGCATCCTGAGTCCTCGTGCGACCATTTAGCGCGCGAAACCAAACAATGCACGGGGAATGGACGTCCGAGCGATGGCGAGTGCCGGCCTTGAGGACTTTGCGCGGGGTCGACGCCGCGTCGAGGAGGCGCGGAATCGATCAACGTCGAAATTACCGAGCCGAAAAATTCAACAGTCTAGCTGCGGCGCGCGCCCGCGCCCGTCGGCGCTGGGATGGAACCGCCAGTCGCGGTGAACTTCGGCCCGGCACTTGTAAAAGATCTGCGTCGCTGGCTCGCGCGCCCACCTGGGCCACCCGCAGCACGCACGCAAGGGCGTTCGAATGGTTTCGGCATTTGACGCGACAGGTTTCTTCGTCTTGTCTCCTCTTCCTCCTCTTCTTCCTCCTCCTCGTCCTGTATTGTTTTTCTTTTTCTCGATCGAGGTAGATGCCCGCGGCAGTTCCGGCCCCAGTTCCGGCAGTTGACGGCCGGGGGCGCGGCGAGGGCCCCCTAAGGGGCCGAACCTGGGCACTTTTTGGTCTGCGGGTCGAGAGCGAGCCTCTTGCGGTTAAGAGCTAGGCGGGCCGCGCAGAGCACTACTCCAGGTTTCGTAACAAAAGGGAGGGGGTCTCAACCCTCCCAGACGAGAAGGTTTAGACCCCCCCCCCCCCCGTGGGAGAACCCTCCAAAACATGGTCCCCAGACCCCCCCAGGCCCTCCAAGATAGCCTGGAAGAGACCCCCCCCCCGAAATGAGACCCCCCTCCCTTTATTACGAAATCTGGAGTAGGCGGGCCGCGCAAAGCACTAATGGGGCAGACAGGGCGCGGGCGGGCGGGGCCTCAGGCGGCCGGAGGGCGCGGGGTGCAGGCGGTGCTGAAGAGCTTGCACAGGAAACGGTACGCCTTGGACAGGAGCCCGAGGCGAAGTCCCGGAGGGAGAGCGAGGTGGTGTTGCCGTCGACGGCAAAGAGACCGAACATGGGCACACGCCATTTCTGTTTCGACCTGAGGGGGTCTGGCGAGCGAGCCCCCGCCCCCGCCCCCCCCCCCCCCCACACAGTGAGCGGCTTGAATAAGGAACGCTTACTTTTCAGATTGGGCTCGATCGTTCCATTTATCGTTCCTTACGCATTATGTATTATGTATCGTTCCTTATGCGTTATTCCCTGGAGAACAGGGGCTTCGTTCCTGATTTACCGTTCCTTAGGTCAGGCCTATGACTGTATCAGTGCCCCATCAGACCAGCGAGGACAAAAGAACCCCTAGCCCT